TACACCAGCATTCCTGTTTTCTGGATTCCAGGAATCAAGCCTGACATTCCTGGGCACTACTCAAAAGTGACCTAAATACTACAGGAGAGCTGAACAGCTACACAAAGCAACCTGCTTTGGACCAAAGACAGGATGAGAGAGACACCACAGGAAGACGAGGTAGCCAGAACAGGGGACAGAGACACAGCCTCTGAGAAGGAGCTCATGTCTCAAAGCAGGAAAGACCAGAGAGACTCTTCAAAGGGACTCTTGCCAGTGGCTGGCCTGTGAGGGAGGAATGGAGTAGCCAAGCAAACCAGTGGCTGTGGTGATCTGAGAAGACAGGGCTGGAGACCAAATTTTCACAAATCCATCCACGCATTCACCCGTAAGTTAATCTGTTCAGTAAGCAAGAATATATGGACCATTAATCGAGGATTGAAAAGATTAGAAAGACACAATATTGACATTCCAAAATATTTAAAGTCATAAATGGTGAAGGAGGTGGATGTCGCTGTAATCCAGCATGGCAAATGAGGTTCCCGATGCCTGACTGACCACAGAGACCCCCAAATTCAGCTACTGAAGAGGGCAGTGAGTGAGGTTTCCCAGGTGAGCTGGACAGGGCCTGGGGTTGAAACCCAGGGTCTAGTGAGAATCGCCCACTGTGTGGGACATTCGTGGGAGGCAGGAAGCAAAGGAAAGCAGGATGCCGATAAAGGATGCAGAAAGGGACCTAACTACTTGGGGCATTGTCCATACATAGGTCAGAGTACTTGGGAGTTCAAACTGCATGCTTCAGGTTGGAAAGGCCCTTCAGGACTTGTGTTAAGGGGACTCAGTGGAGAAACTGTCAGGAAGAGGAGCAAACAGCATGGACAGAGGCAGGGCTATGGAGCGCTGCGGAGGAAGGGCTGGCTGAGCTCACCACACGTTGGGTGAGGAAGGGAGGAGACCTGAGCTGGTCTGTGTGTGGCATGCTAGTTACAGTGAGGAGGGAGACAAGTGGGTGTCCAAGGAAGAATTTTGGTTCAAGCTTGGAGTGGAATAGTCAATGGAAGCAGGCGGCACACTGCTGATTACTAAGCCCAGAGTTTAATCTAGAGCGACAGATCGACCCCCGGCAAGTACGTCAAAGCAGCAAGGATGCTGCCTGGAATCAGGAGGGGAAAGCAGTGAGTAGAGGAATGGCTGAGGAGTGGCTGTAGGGAATGCGATTGTTTGAGGAGCAGGAAGAAGAATGCTCTGTGGAAAGTTCTGGCCAGAGACTGGAGCTAGGGAAAGGAGACAGCCTCAGCAGCAAGGGGGGTGTCAGGACAGTCAGAGTCACCACCATCCAAACCAGCCATGGGGTTCAGTGAGGAAAGAGGTGGATGCCGGGAGTGAGGAGGGAGAAGTCAGGGGTGAGTTCACAGATGACAATATGGACTGCAATTTTAAGAAGATAAGATGAGACAGAACATGAGCTGCTCAACAGGAGCCAAGGATAGACACACTAGGTACAAGGACTGTCATGCAGTCAGCCCTCAGTCTTTGGCTCTGTTTGTGGGTTCACCTGCTCACTAATATTTGTTTGTACTCCAAGCCAATTCTCATGGCCTCCTATTCATACTTGTACATGTTTAGAGTGAACAAGCTTCAAGGCATCCTGTCTATATGTCCTCTGATGTAGTCCAGTGAGGAAACACCCTCTTTTTGTCTCAATTCTCATGCTCTAAACAAGCATCCTTTTTGAAGTGTATATGCCGTGGATTCTTCCATGTTTATGCTTTGTGTTGATGAGATACTGTTAGAAATTGCTTGCCAGCGCAGTGTTGTGCAGTATTCCTACATCCAAAAGGGCTGGAGCAGACTTTATGGAACAAACCTACATGTTACATTGTTCTCTCCCTCTCTCTCTCTCTCTCTCTCTCTCTCTCTCTCTGTGTGTGTGTGTGTGTGTGTGTATGCATGTTTCTGAATCTAGATCTTTTATACACTATGAAAGCATTCTGCCACTGAGCTACAGTCACAGGCTTTTTGATGAGTATGTTTTATTTTAAGGAAAGGTCCCATTAAAGTGCTCAGGATGGCTTTGAACTCTCACTGTAACCCCAGCAGGTCTTGAACTTGTGATCCTCCTACCTCAGCCTCTTGTGTAGATGGGATTACGGCTCTGCACCACAAGGCTCAGCTTGGTTGTGATTTCCTCTAGCTTTTAACAACACATTGGCTTTGCTTTTTTTTTTTTTTTAAAGAACCAATAGAATACACTCAGTAAAGCATCTAATCAGAAATACACATGAAACAATATACTGTTCAATTAAAGGAAATGTCAGGGACACAGCTCAGAGAAACCTAATCGCATGTTTCATGTAGATACAGTGGTTCAGTATTCACTAATGCCATGTTTTCACGTGTTTAAGGCATAACTACTGCAAATCATGGGGACTCACTGTACCTAGTGAAGCAATTGGGAAGAGTTGTAGAGTGGGTAGGAATGAAAGCTAGGGGAAAATGGAGAGTGGTCAGGCTCTTGTCTCTGAGGCTCCAATGTGTCTTCCCCCTTTTTTTGTGGAGCCTGGCTCTCTTTCATGGGCGAGTATGTTCTGGAAATCATGACAGGGAAAAATTCTCACCAGTGAGTCTGAAACCTTAACAATGAAATCGCACCCCAAGGCGCCTCAGGTGTTAGGGAACAGTGCCCTCAGCTGGTTGGTGGTGGTAAGTATGCCACACACACTTGCAAAGTTGCAGCTAGCTGGCAAGAGCACATCTAGGGCCACTCAGCACATGACAAATGTATTACAAACATTGAAGATTCAAGTGGAGGAAGGTTCAAACATCAAAGGTCCACAAGAGGAAAACAGAAGTGCAGGAAGCATACACGAGAAGATAAACCCCGATCCAGCACCAACTCTATGAGCAGGGCCTCTCTGAACACCTCGCCTCCTCTAAGAAACAGACACTCCCTATAGGAGGCAGCAAGCACGCTTGTGAGGCATGATCTCCCCGGATGCAGAGACGACATTTTATCAACAGTGACTGAAGGAATGAGCCGAGAATCATGGGACCTGTCTTTTGGCTATTGGTTTATGGACACAAGCCACCATCAGACTTGCTCTGCCACTGCTCTTGGGCACAAGTTATCAATCCCATGGGGAGTCACAGGGCAGCGTAAAGGAAAATGCCCCAGAAGTCTCAGATCCTTCTGGCCACTCTACAGTTGACAAGACAGTGTCTCAGCTACAAAGACTAAGAAAGTGCAGGCTCTCAGATAGACCCTTTACATCATGAGTGCTGGGCCCTGGTTTGCCAAGCTTTCTATTTTTTAGTTCCACTAACAAATAATGTCATGGCTATTTTACTAAATAGTACATTTCACTCTCTACTCTAGTATTAAATCATTTCTGGCAACCTTAGAGAAGCCTAGAAGAGTATTTATTAAATTACTGACACACTTGCTCAGTTTCTATTCTAATCCAGAAACTGAGGCAGGCTCATGATAAAATGGGGAAAAAAATGTGATTCACAATTTTAAAATAGCAATCTCACTTACGGCCAACCATCCACTCATTCTATCCTGATTTATTTAATGGAATTAATAAGGATGTTTATAAATGAATTTATATAGACATTCGGAATATCTTCACTACTTATTGATCTAAAATAATAAGGATATTATCTCCAGGTAAGGCATCTGCAAAGAGTTCGTGGGCTGATGGGAAGACAAATAAACAAAAAGCTGACAAGCATGCTTGGAGGTGCTAAGCCCTGCTTCTAGGGCTGGATGCCTGTCGAAGGTGGTGACGCAGGTTTAGAAAGAGACCAGCTGAGCCCAGAGGACACCGGGGCAGCCTTCCCACTAGACCAACTGTGTGGCCATCACTAGACTCATTTTACGACCCTAGGCAACGTGGTGGACTCTTTCAAAACCTGACCTGCGAAAGGTCAGGAGAGGGCAGAGACGAAACTGGGACGCTGGCAAAAATCAATATACAGGCCAAGGTCGCTGCACTTGGCCTTCAGTCTCTGCTGCTTTTAAAGACACATGTTTTGGGTGATTCTCTTCTCTGCAGATGTTGGATGATGCAATTATATTGTGACACACGAATGCACGCACACTGATAGAATGTCATTAACAGACGAACCACAGCTGATCCACTGAAAATTCCACTCTCACACCCCGCCCCTCCCTCCAGATGCTCTACAGGGCAAGGGGCAAGTTTTTGCATGGATGTGAAGAACGTGATGAGTCTCCTTCTTCAAAATGATGAGTTTCTTGATCTCACTAAGAAGCTGGTTTTTATTTTTAGAGTAAAAAGAAAATCTGCCACTTGTATCTTTCATCTATAGTGGATTTTTCTCTCTATTTTAGTAAAATGTCAGCTGACTTCTTTCAAATTGTAAGTTGTTAAAATTAATTATGCCATGCTGTTTTTCAGGGAAAAGTCTCTCAGAAAGCCAAAGTGAAAGATCCCAGCTCACCAACTGAGTACAGATGTGCCCTAAAATCAGGCTCTGGGATGAAGGTACAGGATCTCACCTTCAGCAAGGCTGAGAGTATTTGTCTGCATGTGAGTATGGGCACATGCATGAGTCTGGTGCCCTTGGAGACCAGAAGAGGGTATTGGGTCCCCTGGAACAGGAGTTGCAGATGGTTGTAAACTACCATTCAAGTGCTGGGAACTGACCCTGGACATCGTGAGAGCTCGGGGGTGAGGTGGGAATGGGAAGGACAAAGCTAGATGCGTGCACAGAGCTGAAGCAGTAAGGCCGCTATGAGCTCCACTGGGGCATTCAGACTGGGTCTGAAAGAATGCAGTATACACTATGAGGTGCCCAAGATGGCTCCGCAGCTCACCCAGGTTCAGTTCCCAGCCCTTGAGGGCATCAGGCACACATGCGATGCGCATACATACATGCAGGCAAACACTCATACACATGAAATAAATAAATGCACAGTGCATGAGTGCTAAGTCTTTACTGGTAAATTTTTGTGTGCGCCTGTATACGTTGACGTCGTGAATCCACATCTGTAATTGCATTTTAATGGAATACTTTTATTTTTTTAAGATTTATTTTATTTATGAATGTCTGCATGTACATACATATGTACACACCGTGTACGTGCCTAGAAGAGGGAGCTGGGTACTCTGGGATTGGAGATATACATGGCTGTGTGCTGCCGTGTGGGTGCTGGGATGCAAAGCCTGGTCCTCTGCAAGAGCAACAAACATTCTTTACTGCTGAGCCATCTCTCTAGCCCCTGTGATTGTGTCTTAAGTTTTCTCTTAAGGGTATCTTTCATACAGTCCCTTTGATACTTGCGAGTTTTCAGAATACACATTCCGCTTGTTCTTGTGCCTGGCAACTGAGAGTGGCACGAAGAGTGGCAAGACCCCCACCATGCTGGGTGATAGCTTTAGTAGATCAGGGCTCAGCCTACAGTCCCCCAAAGCACTAGTTCTGTCAAAGTCCTGTTCTGTTGTGCTCAGTGTTTGGAATTTGCACACCTCTGCTTTAGCCCCACAAGCAAAGTCAACATCAGAGGGTACCAGTGGAGGATCAAGGTCTCCCCATCTTCCAGGATAAGCCCAAGGCAAGGTAGACAGTGTGGGATAAGGCCCTGAGGCCAAGATGTAATGAGTTCATCGGTAGTGAGGGAAGGAAAGGACAGGCTGACATTAGGTAAATGTGCTTTTACGACAAACAACCCTGCACCCCACAGATACCAGGAGATGAGAAAGAACAGAGAAGGTTTGGTGATGCTCCCCAGATCATTAAGCTGAGAAAATTGAGTAGCAATGGCATCAATCAAGAAAGAAGGCTAGTGGAATGTCTGGATCTCACAGTACATCCATGGCCAAGTCCTCTATATGCAGTTCACGTAAGGACCCGGATCTTGGGAGAGTGTGACACACTTGGAGATAGCCTACAGAGCAATGACAGTTACGGTCACATAAGAGGGTGACAAAGGAAGCAGTAAAAGGGAGAGAGAACTGAGCTGAGAGCGTAAGAGGCCATCAGTGTTGACAAAGAAAGAGAAGCCAAAGAAGTCTCCTTGAAGAATGTTATGGAGCCTCCTGGGAAGGAAGGATGGAGGGAAGGCAGTGTTGGGATAGAGAGACTGGTCAAACATGGACTATTCTCTGTGTGGTTTGTAAAGTGGAGAAATTTGATCATGTCATTAACAGCAGATGACATGGGGGAAAGATGGGAGTCTATGAGATGGAAGCATAGTGCCTGGAAATGGCAGGAGGCAATAGAAATTGGGCACTGAAGATCATGGGAAGGATGCCATGGCATTAATTCAAGTTTCTTCTCCTTCTAAATAGTCATAATGTATGTCTGGCCTCTTACCTCCAGGATGTCACTCAAAGCCAGAATTTACTCTCGCCCTGTGATGGAGGTTCAGGAACCTTTTATGTGCAGGAAGATGTCCCCTTCTCAGGATCTCTGAAGATGGAGGAGAGAAGCAGACTCTATGAGGCATAAATTAATGAGAACAAGCCAAGCACAACCTGACCCCTCACTGCCCACAGAACATCTTCTGACTTCCTCAACAGGCCTCCGGCCCTCTCACATTGCAGCAGCACCCAGAGCTGACTTATCACTCTGTAGTCCATGTCACACTCTTGGCCTCAACTGCAAGCCCCCAAGGGCAGGAACTGTCACATTTCTCTTCCAGTTCTCCTCAGAAACTGCCCCATGCTTGTCACACACATTTGTGGAATTGAATTAAATCATCGTGTTCAAAGACATCTCAGAGACAGCTGTACATCTGCATTAATGATGCTCCAAGGCCCAAATGTGGTTAAGCGTTGGCTTAGAGATGTCTTCTGACACACACAAGAGGACTGGTCACATGGATTTACATCTGAACTGTGTTCTCTCTCTCTGTGTTTCTTTCTCTCTCCTTGTGCTTTTCCTTCCATGTCTCTCTGTCTCCTTTTGTCTCTTGGTCCCTGTTTCTTTCTGCCTCTGGGTCTCTCTCTGTCTCTCTTTGTTTCTCTCTCTCTCTCTCTCTCTCTCTCTCTCTCTCCATGTCTGGCATATTTTAAGGACACTCACACATCTCTGTCAAGATACACATGTAGTAAGAAACTGATTTTCAGTACAGAGCCCGTGGAGTTCTGAGACCTTCCGACAACCAAGTCAGGAGCTTGAAGACCAACCCTCTGGTCCCAGTCAATATCAGCAGAGAGAACCAATCAACAAGCCTTTCCACCACTTCATATAAACCCCTATACAGAAACCAAGCTAAGCTGCTCCTGTATTCCTAATCCCAGAAACAACAAGATGATCACAGTTTGCTGTCAGAGATGTAGAATTTGGGAATCACTGGTACATATTAGTATGTAGCAATCAGTAGCAAAGCCCCCATGTAGGTTACCAATCTGATCCATTGGATTTAGTTTCCATTTTTGACCATGCCCAGAATCAAAACACAAGAGCTAACAGTTGCTACTGTGGCAGGCATTCAAGGACTAGGCCATGGACTTTGAAATAAGTGCCCAAAAGAACATGTCAGCAGTGGTCATGGCGATGCCAGCTGTGTGTTCTCTCAAGGAGACAAACTGGGGGTTTAAAAAACTTAAGCTTCAGGTTTAATTCCTAGCTCACAGGATCAATTGGAGCATGAAGATGAGACACAGAGATCCCTAATGTGTGAATATCAGTGTCATTTATTATGACAGGGCTCTGGAAACAAGATGGATTTCACAATGCCCGAAAGCAGTGTGGAGAATGCACAGGCCTGGAAGATGGAAAGGTTCAAAGTTTTGGCCTCTGTGCTAATCACATGGCTGAGGAAAACAAAGTCTATCCTGACTATGTAGATGAAGTTGAGCCCTGACTCTTCAAGGGGCACATTGCCACACACTGGACCTACAACTCAGAAGATGCAGAGGGAATAAGTATGTACAAGTATGGGACTGTCTTAAGAGAAAACTGACTTTGCCCTTGCATACCTTAGAAATATTGGGGCCATTGAATGGAAAAAGATCTATAGAAATAGAGAGAAATACCTTACAGAAGCCTGCAAGAAGTGTGTGTGTGTGTGTGTGTGTGTGTGTGTGTGTGTGTGTGTGTGTG